TAAACATTTTGGTCAGAAATAACTATATCAGTATTTTAGACATTTTTATGACTCTTTTTAGAGGATTCTAATAGAGGGGTTTACTTGCAACTATTTAGAAAGGTTTGGAGAGGTATTACCAAACTTTAGGAGAGCGTTTCAGCAACAAAAATTTAAGGGGAGGTTTCAACAATTTACCCTAATAATAAAAAAACATTTGCCATACAAAACCTGGTTGCCACTTGCCAGATCACCCGGGATATTCTTTTCTTTGAGCCTTAAGAACGTCAACTTTCTTAGCATACAATATAGTAGAGTCCTGCTCAACAACAACAACAGTCAAATAGTTATTGTGCAATGACATAAGATTTTTTTTTTTTTTTTGTTATTGCACAAATTTGGCTCAATTTGGAAGGAGTGCAAATATAAGTAGACTTAGTTTGAAAGGAGTACAAATACAGATATCTAGAGTGTAAGTACATGCAAAATACAAGGTTTTGCACTCTATATGTTTGCATTTGTACTCTTCCCAAACTGAACCTATGCCTTGTATTTTGTTAGCTCGGATCAGATAGGCAGAATGTTGTAAGCACGTTTAATGAACACTTGAAAACTTTTGACACCTGTCCCTTAAAATACCCTCACCCACCCTTGAAAAATATTAAAACTCACTTTTTACAATTATTAAAATACTTATAAATGGTTCATTTAATGTACTTATGTTGTGCCTACTAATCCGATCCCACCCGAAAAGCACAGCATGGATGACATTGGAATGTTGCCATGCATAGAGGACTTGTGCCACTGTGCAGGCAGACAAAACTTGTGTAACACGACAAAGGACGTCCGTCAGATTGCCCTACTACCTCTTCATTGGCCAACAAAACTTGTGCCACTGTGCGGGCAGAACTACCGAAACCACCCCGAAATAACGTAGCCTCTGGATTTTGTTATCATAACACGACCTCTGCTTCAGAAATAACAGAATTGACTCACCTTGGAGGCAAGCGGTAGGAATTTCATATAGGTCATTTAGCCTCTAGACCCTAGAACCAGCCTTGGTAGGGGTCGGTTCTAATAATTTGAAACCAAATTCTACTTTATAATAAATTGAGTAGGGTCGGTTCAAGAATGATTCGATATTAATTTCATTTTATTCAAAATAAAATCTTCCCATTTGCTCACCCCTAGGCTCAAGGGAAGGTAAGAAAAAGTTAAAGACCTCTAAAAACCGAGGTGATCTCCACATGTCCAAAAGCAAATATCTTGTTAATCCAAACTATCACAAACGATCATCCCAAAAGGAACAATTCCTATATTAGCCTTATTAACCACCTCATTAGCAAAAAGGAGAGGACAAAATGCACTAATAGTCTATTAGCGCTGCTAACCCAGCCCATCAACAGCTGCCACCTCTCCAAAAATAAAAATACAACTGTCCTAACTCTCAACGAAACAATTAAATCAAAAGTTCAAAACCTTGATGTTTTAATAATTTAATATGGCCACACCTAAATTAGATGAAGTGACTTTTGATGGGGCCGCTGCATTACATGTAAGGCTATAATTTTCGGTTTAGGCGCTGAGCTCCCAAAAATAACGCTCTCATTAAAGCCCAAGCCCTTTTATCCACCACCTCATTGCATTGACAAGGAGAGGGGTAGATTCTCTTTACATCTAGGACTAGATTATCTGAGAACAGTCGATTGGAATTTCATGATGTACCTCCGGACTGGATGAGAGAATTATTTTGCACTCATCCTCTCCCAGAGGAGCTTTGTTGTCTCTCATGAAAGTTTTTTTTTTTTTTTTTGGTTTGTCGAGCAAAAAAAGGAGAGGGGCATAAATTACTACAAAAAGATCCGCCACATTTAACAAGAGTTAGGATGTTAAAGATGTTACTTTAAATGTTTATTGTTTTTATTGTTTGGTTGGACATTTCAAGTAATAATCTATAAACCTATCTTTCACCTCAGCATATAATGGTTCAGATAAACATTTCATTTCAACAAATCGTTGAGGTGTTGGGAGAAATTAGAATTTGAAGTTTCACCTAATGCCTCATGTACAAAAATCCAAGTGTTTTTTGTTTTTTTAATGTTTATTTGATTATATTGAAACTAAACAGTGCTTTTTATGCACAATAAATGTCAACACCAAAGTGCTGCTGAATTGGTAATGTTTTTCTAATAAATGCCCACAAAACCAAACATAACTGACACATACTGTATCCATCAGCAGATCGAAAGAAAGCATATATGGAGTGCAATTCATTTGTACAAAACACGAATTGGATGGCATAAGTTCGGGTTAATTGGTGGTCGATGAATGAAAGACGAATTGCCTGTGATTGTCCCACAATGAGACAAAGACAAATTGCCTGTGATTGTGGTTCAGAAAGGCCTTGTGGGTCTGACAAGTCGATTAACAAAAACATAATTAATAATAACGGTAAATTGCCAAAACATCACCTGAAATTTTTGACCATTGTTAAAACTTACCATAAATTTTGGTAATTTCAATCACCTTCTCTGAACTTTTTGACACAGTTGCAAGTAAACCGCTGTTGTTAGAATCCTCTTAGAGGTACAAAAATGTCCAAAATATTCATGCAATTACTAATGATGCACGATTTGGTGCTCCCTATTGGTGGACAGCTCAGATATCGAACTGAGTAGATCGCCTAGTCGAGGAGAGAGAGTCCGGATTGCTTTACCCGTGGTGGACACTCTGATGCTTAATTCAGCGAACTAGGAATGTGATTGCAATAATGTAAGAGAACTAGAGTGCTTGAGAGATAAATCACACGTACCTTATGAGGTTGGAGGTGAGGCCCTTATATAGGCGGGCTGCTGTGAGCCTC